CACAGATCATATTGGAAAAACTGAACAGCTACCAGCAAAAGAATGTACCACTTTCTTACACCATACACAAAAATGAACTCAAAATGGATTAAAGATCCACATGTGAGACCTGAAACCATAAAATTCCTAGAAGAAAACATAGGCAGTGATCTCTTTGACATCAGGTGTAGAAATCTTTTTCTAACAATGTCTCCTCCGGCAAGGGGAACAAAAGCAAAATTAAACTATTGGGACTACATCAAAATAAAAACTGTTGCACAGTGAAGGAAACCATCAACAAAACAAAGAGACAACCTACTGAATAGAAGATATTTGTAAATGACATAACTGATAAGATATTAATATCCAAAATATATGAAGAACTTCTATAACTCAACACCAAAAAAACAAATAATTCAATTTAAAAATGGGCAGAAGACATGAATAGACATTTTTCCAAACAAGACATACAGATGGCCAGCAGATACATGAAAAGATGCTCAACATCACTCATCATCAGGGAAATTCAAATCAAAACCACAATGAGATATCACATCACACCTGTCAGAATGGCTACTATCAAAAAGACAAGAAATAACAAGTGTTGGCAAGGATGTAGAGGAAAAGGAACCCTGGCGCACTGTTGGTGGGAATGAAAGCTAGTGCAGTCACTGTGGAAAACAGTATGGAGGTTCCTTGGAAAATCCAAAATAGAACTACCATATGATCCAGTGGATCTAGTGGATATTTGTTTATCCAAAGAAAACAAAAACACTAATTCTGAAAGATATATGCACACCTATATATATTGCAGCACTATTTATAATAGCCAAGATATGGAAGCAGCCCAGGTGTCCGTCCATCCATAGATGAATGGATAAAGGAGATGTGAGATACACACACACACACACAATGGAATATTACTGAGCCATAAAAAGAATGACATCTTGCTATCTGAACAACATGGATTGATCTACATGGTATTATGCTGAGTGAAATAAGTTAGTCACAGAAAGACAAATACCATATGATTCCATTCATATGTGGAATTTAAGAAAAAACGCAAACATAACAAAGAAAAAAAGAGACAAAAAACCAGACTCTTAACTATAGAGAACAAACTGGTTACCAGAGGGAAGGGCGATGGGTGAATAAAGGGGATTAAGAGTACATTCATCCTGATGAGTACTGAGTAACGTACAGAATTGTTGAATCACTATATTGTCCACATGAAACTAACATAACACTGTATGTTAATTACAATTGAGTTTTTAAAAATGTCCAAAATCAAACTCCTTTTTGTGGCATATCCTCCCTCCACTCCATTTCTGTAAGTGATATCACCACTCATCCAGGAGCTCCAACTAAAACTCTAGGTGTCATCTGTACTTTCATCTTTTCCTTCTCACACCAAATCAAATCCACCAGCATTATGGATTTTATACTCTCTTTTAAAAGTATTTTGAATCCATCCACTTCTTGCCACCTCCATCATTATTGTAGACCTGACCACCATGATCGCACATGAACTATGGAATAGGCTTCTAGCTTTCTGTTTCCCTGTGTCCCCATACGGTGTATTCTCACCCAGAAGCTACAGCCATCTTCTTAAAATGTAAAGCACATCACCTCCCATCACTTCTCTTCACTGACTTGCCAAAGCACTTAGAACAAAATCCATCTCCCACATGGTCTGCCAGCCACCCCACCCACAAGTGGTCCGGACTGTTTCCTGATGTCTGCACCTGCTTCTCCCCCTTGTCCTGTACATGCTGACTACACTGCTTCCTGAACATGCCCGGTGGGAGGGCATGGGGCTTTATAGAGCTGTCATCTCTAGCTGTTTTCCCCCAGATCTCTGCAAGGCTGGTTCATTTTTTATAACTAGGTCACCTCTTTAGCAAACCCTTTCCTAACCACCCACTCTCAAATAGTTTTTTTCTGCCACAACCAAGTCCCTCTGTTTTATGGCCCACCATTGCAGGTATTGCTGTTTTCCCATGTTTTTCTCATGTTTCATGTTTATTTATTTTAGTGCTCCTTCCCCACAACTATAAGGCCTATTATCCATTTGTTCCTCAGGGGAATGAAAACATCTCATAGTTCATGAAGGTACTCATGATTAAAAATTACAAAACAAAAGAACCCTCATACTCTCTCCAGTCCCTCTTAGGAACTGAAGGATAAGGGTGAATGTGGTCACCCAGGGAAGCATCATGCAGTATGTATGTACTTGTCTCCAGGACACATGTCTTAGTCTGTTATGGCTACTGTAACAGAACACCATAAACTGGGTAGTTTGTAAACAATAGAAATTTCTTTCTTACTGATGTGGATGGAGTCTGGGAAGTCTCAGGTCAGGGCACTGGCAGATCCAGTGTCTAATGAGAGCCCACTTCTTGGTTCATAGACAGCCATCTTATTGATGTGCCCTCACTTGGTGGAAGGAGCAGGGAGATCTCTGGGAACTCTCTTATAATGGCACTAAACCCATTCATGAAGGATCCACCTTTAAGACCTAATCACCTCCCAAAAGATCCCACCTCCTGATACCATCACACTGGACATCAGGATTTAACATGAATATTGGGGAGATGAAAACATTCAGTCTACAGCCACATAAGATCCCGCATAGTCCCCTTGTCTATATTATGCTTTTAAGGACACAGACTCACCATGCTAATGCTTTTTAAAAATGGGGAGGGGTTCCTGGGTGGCCCAGTCAGTTGAGCATCTGACTCTTGATTTTGACTCAGGTCATGATCCCAGGGTCATGGGATTGAGCCCTGCATCAGGTTCCACACTGAGCATAGAGTCTGCTTAAGGTTCTAGCTCTCTGTCTGCCCCTCTCCCCTGCTTGTGCTCTCTTTAAAATAAAATAAAAAATAAAAAATAAATGGGGACATCACTGAAGGGTAGGGTTGAAAGACCAGAGTCATTTACGAGGTACTCACTTGTGAGATCTTGGACAGGTGACCGTAACCTTAATGTGCCTCAGTTTCCTCATCTGCAAAATGGAGACAAGTACTTAGTCCCATAGGATTGTGGAGAGAATTAAAAATAACACATATGAAGCACTGAGAGCAGGGCCTGGCACACAGGAGGCACTCAATAATAGTTCACTCTTTCTTCTAGGTAAACCAAATTTGGCAATTCCCTGCAGACTACCATCTCTGAGGCCACTCTAGACTTCACACGGTATCTCCATATTTTCACCACTGTTTAAGTTTCTTTTGTTATGGCATCACAACCTTCATGCAGGGGGGTGACAGATACAGAGCCATCCCCCAGTGAATTCTCCCAGTGTCTCAACAATCTATACCCTTCTAACTTACCAGGTACCAGAGAGAATGAGACCAAGTCCTGAGACACACAGAGAATACCAACCTCTCTATTTGAATAAAACTAAACCAAATATTTTTGATCTAATGGTAAAATCCGCTGCCTCAAAATTGTTCATCTGAAATGTCCGGCTAATAGGGGAAATGATGGTTTGGGTTAATCCTAGCCACCAAAATATTTTCTAGTTAAAACTATTCATGTCTAAGCTTTTGGAGCAATTCTAGATGGACAGAGTTCTTGTTTAGAGCACACATTCACCATGGCATTCAGTATTGATGTTCTCAAAGAGAATGAAATTAATAAATCAATTTGATTAGGAATAAAGCTATCCCAGGACTTTTCCAATAAAGGCAGGCTTAATCACGTTGTGTAGTTCTAACAGCTAGAAAAATAATTACTCACAAGGATAGAGAATACAATGAAAGTAGAACTTAGGGTGTATAAAATCAAACTATAATATCTACAAAGTCTCACTGATTTTGGTGGCTGAATGCCCCCAGCCGCACATATTCCTATGAAGATGAGTTTGTTCAAAGGAACAAATTGGAAATATTTTTAAAAATAGAGGTATTATATAACTGAGACACAATTCTGAGTTCCTAAATATATGTTCTTCCTCTGCTGGCCTTTCCACATTCTACATTCATGGGTCATCCTGGCTAATACACTGATAACCTAGTTTTCGGTAGAAATGTGCAGGTTAGATTAATTAGATGCTAAAGAATTACAACTTTTTTAGAAATTTTATGTTTTAAGATGTTGCACCAAGTAGATGAAGATAGAAAAAAAACCTACATTATCTTCTGATTTCCAAAAATAAACACTGAAAATTTTATTGGAAAAAAAGAATCTCAAAAAACCCAAACCCCCAAATCAACCCAACTGAGACTCTGAATGATACATATACTAACTGAAACTCCACACATCACATTTCACTCACTGCTGGAGGACATTCTCCAAGTGTGACTAGAAAGAACATTTACGCATAGGACAGAGGCATGTTTGAAACCTTTTATTGAACAGGCAATGCATTGTGCAATGGTTAAGGACACAGATGCCTTGTGGAAAAGTTTAAAAATTATTTTTGGAAACAGTCTATGAATTGATGAACCCGGCTATGTTCCTTCTGCTCCTTCTTAGAGAGACTGTCTTCAGGAAAACTGTTTAATAGCTGCTCTTGGAAACGGCATCCCTGTTTTACCAAAAATGTCATGCCTAATAGTAAACATTTAAAGAAGACAGGATCCACAGGCAAGACCACACCCGGAGACACAAGTTGACCTCAGGTGGAAGCACAGACACACGTTCTCCTGGAAGACCTTCCCCTTTGTCCTTGCAGGCGCTTCCGACTAAGGCTTTCACTGCTCACTTCTGTTTTCTTCCTGTCAAGCCCTCTTTATCAAGGCAATTCTCAAAGACTCACATTCATACCTTTGGGCACAGGACCTTGTTCCTGGCCCTTTTCAATGGTGCTCTTGTTTTAGGGCACCTCTGGCCCAGGATTGTGGCTGTGTGTCTGTCTTTGTTGGCCTGGTTCCTTCCTCTTCCCCAGGCTTGCTCTCCCATAACTTGATAAAATCACTCTTCGGTTTCACAGTTTGTTTGCCTTGATTCACTGGCAGTTTTTAAGTAAGTGACCCGTCAAGGTAGTGGACGTTCTTTAGCAGCAGGCTGTCAGCCTATTTTATAATTTGGGGCATGTCACTCCAAGCTTGAGATTTCTTTCTGGCAAGTTCCATCCAGGATGGCTGATCTGCACTGGCATAACTGGCTCTCTTCAGCTGATGCAATTCTTTCTCCGTCATCACTGCAGACTGAGCCGCTGGAAAGAAGACAAAACAAACAGAAACATGAGAAATGAGTTTGGATTTCCACTTAAGCCTCTTGCGTTTCTTTAAAATATACGTCAAGGTCTTAGCTGTGGTCTCAAACACAAAATCTATTAATGTGTAAACACGTAAAGAAGATTCAAGCATAGAATAATTTGTGTAATAGAAAGACTTAAGAACGGTAGGCTCAAAATGGTTCCATCAACACAGTGAGGTAAGAGAAACTTTCAGAATAAAACTGCAGAAACTCTGGAGATCAGTTTGCACAACAGTGCAAATATTCTTAACACTGCCAAACTGTATACTTAAAAATGGCTAGGATGGTAGATTTTGTTGTGTGTATTTTAAATCTATTAAATCTATTAAAAATAGATTTAAAAATACCGATGCAATAGCAGAGATGATTCTCAAAAACACTATGCTCGGTGAAAGAAAGCTACCTATAAAAGAACACATATTTTAGGACTCTATTTATAAGAAATGTCCCCAAAGGCAAGTATATGGAGACAGAAAGTAGATTAGTGGTTATCTAGCCCTGGGGTTGGGAACGGTGAATGACTGTAAATGGGCATGAGTTTCTTTTTAGGGTGAGGGAAGTGTTCTAAAATTGGATTGTGATGGTTGTACAAGTCAGTAAATATACACTTATTGTCAATATACACTTGCTGAATTGTACACTGGAAATGGGTGAGTGTTATGACATGGAAGTGACATCTCAGCAAAAGCCATTTAAAAAATCAATGTGGCAAAGTAATTCAGAAAAGAAAACAAGAAAAGCAGGACCAGTTCTGGAAACATATTTCAAAGTAAAACCTTGGATTGTAAGTAACTTGTTCTGTGAGTGTCCCAAGTGTTCCACAGATGAATAAACATTTCTGATAAATTTTAACTTGATAAACGAGTGATGTCTTGCAATATGAGTAGTTTGTGATGCCGAACATCACATAGTCACAACCGAGCCAATGGTTCTTGAAATTTGCTTTGATATATGAGTGCTTTGGATTACAAACATGTTCCCAGAACAAACTGTGCTCGCAAAACAAGGTTTTACTGTATTTGGTACTGCTTGCAGGTTTCATACCCAAGTTCTGATGGGACAAGGAGATTCCTCTTTGCAGCCCCTCCTGGAGGCGAAGCTTTGTCCCCTGCCTCCGGTCCACAGTGGGTTTGGCAGGAGCAATCAGGAAAGACTTGCTGCGGACAAAGTCAGCTTGCTTCATGGGCTCCTATTAGGACACAAGAGAGACACCCTCTGTCTGGTCACCGACACTCCGAGAGGGGGCAAACATAACCAACAGCAGCGGGGCCACAGAACTTCTCTGCTGAGCTGAGTCATGCCACCGGTACTTTCTTGGCAGAGCTCTAATTTGTGCCCTTGCTGAGAGGAGCCTTTAGAATGTCAGACTCAGGCGAGTGTGGGGCTTTCTGCTACGCCCACACAGACGTCGTGGCTTCTGCCTTGTCCCCACACCTGGCCTTAGCCCTGCATGTCAGATGGCAGGGATTCCATTTAAAAGTCATAATGAATTGTTTGGAAATAGTTTTGAAATTTTTATGACACCTGGTATGAACATGGATGCCCCAAATGGTTAGTATTCACTTTAGAAATTCCCTTAGTCTGCATGCAGGGTTTCAGGGCTGGGTACGATGGAGGTTTGGGTTCAAACAAAGGAAAACAGATGCTGTTGGAGGCTGGGGCTCATTTCCTCACATGGCTGAAACACACTTATGGGTTTATCATGGTGGCTATTAGGGGGAATACAGAAGCTGAGGGTCTCGTCCTGCTTGTGAGCATAGATGCCTGGGGTTGAGAAAGCTGTTTCAGTGCAGAGTGTGAAGTGGAAACCCAGGTTCCAGCCCTGCAGCCCTACGTGAGGAACAAGAAGCCCCAGCAGGTGGCCAGCATAGCAGCAAAAGCAGGGCTTGTCCATTACCGTGCAACGAGCCGAGATGGAGCTGCTGACATGGTCACCACGCATCTGAGAAGTTATTTTAACCCCATTCCATTTCTCCAGATGCTGAGCTGTGTTGGAGGGCAGGGTGCAGCGAGCTGCCTAAGTGATCCACCCACTTCTAACAGTCCAGCTCACACCGAGGGCACCCATTAGCAATCGTCAGAGGCAAGGGTCTCTATAATGAACATGCAGAATGTGTGGGGTGCTGGGCCTCAGCTCTAGCTGGCTGGTCCCACCCTCTATCTATAGAGACAGAAAGCATTTGCTCTAAGCACCTGGGCTCTCTCGGGCGCCTTGGCTTGCTTTCCTATTTCTGACTTCAGGGTACGGACCCCAGGCTTGTCTTCCTGGTTAGGGGGCTGGTTGGGGGTCCCTCGCCGTTTCTGCCGGGCAATGGTGATCCAGGGTGGTGCAGGCTGGCCCTCGGCTGCAGGAGGTGGACCCTTCTCTGTGGGTAAAGACACAAGATTATGCAAAACATCCCAGCCCTTGTCCAGTCTCACCTTTGGCTTCTCCCACACAGAGAACACTGCACAGAGGAGCTGGAGGCCAGGGTGTATGAGGGAGGAGGAGAGAGGGTCTGGGAAGCTTCTCTGGTGAGACCATTGCTTTTCTTCAGGGGACTTGGTTTTCTCACTTAAAGATGCATCAAAGAGATGATGCTCCTCTAGTCTGAGCCACAAAAAATTAAATGCAACTGCTCCTATATGCACATTTAAAAGCCACATTCCTCCCACAGGATACTTTCTGGAATGAGATAAAAATCAGTATATAAATAAGATTTCTTTAATATAAGCCTGGCATTTTGGGCTAGTGCATACTATGTGATTCCTGATTTTCTTGGAAGTTTTGTAGACACACTATTATTATTTTTTTTTTTT